TCTCATGAAATCCATAGCAAAGGTTAAGGGGCTGATACCTCTTCCTCATGTGTGTCCTGATCCAAAACTGAGAACTGCAAGATGATCAATACCTTACAGAGTTATTGAATATTACACTTACAATTTTTTGCTTGAAGTTTCTGAGGTATTATATTTTATGGAGGCCTTGGCACTTTTAGGACAAGTGTCAAAACCTGATTATAATTTCTTTTGACAATATTTCTATTAAAATATATAGGGCATCAAAAATGATATTTTTGACCTTGTACTTTTTGAGATCCGGGAGTGCACAAGACTTCACAGCAATCTGTCAAAAATATTACTGTATCTCAAACATGAACTTAAAATTGTTTCTACAGAGCCGTTTTTATCCTTTATTTTTAAATCAAAAGGAAGACATGTATTTGTCCCAAAGTTTAACTGACAGCAATAATTGTGGCTAATGAAGACAAAGGGACAAGATTTTATGAAACTTTGTCATTTGGACCTGACTGAATCATCTTATGTGTTCTATTTTCAGTGGGGATTTTGTGTTAAAATAGCTGTAACTCGCTACTATCACAAATAAAAGGGTTAAGGTTATTGCAAGATCTCTCTCATCTAGAGAGGAAGCCACTAAAACCCAAACAATTACAAAGTTTCCTTCTTTATTATTAAATTAGATCTGGTAATATCCCTCTGCACTAGGCATTGACATTCTGGCAATTAATAACTAGCTCACTGCTCAAGATTTGTTTTTAAAATTCACTTTGTATTTCCAAGTGTCAGTTAAAAGTACCTGATGTTATTATGGTCAAATATTGTATTATAAGGTGTCCTATTAATCCGATACAAACATGAAGTAACCTACCTGGAATTTTTTTATGGAACAACTTAAAAACAGGCTGGCCACCACATGCTCTCTTCCCAGATAACTCACAACCTTTAAAAGTTGTTTTTTAATCCAAGTTATTCTTATTAATTCACATCAATGTTTTTCATATTTGATTTGTTACATTCAGTAAGTTTGTCCAGCCTTCACTTGGAAATATTAAAAGATAAGTGATGCCTTGCTTTTGTGAATTATTAGCTACTGGAATAATGTTATGTTTTTCATTTAATGCCTAGCACTGTCTTCAAATACGTAACACTCTCTCTAACCTAGTATTTGATTAGAGGGATCTTTCAATAAACAAATCAGAGTCCAAAATCTAAAGACCTGGACCAACTCCTAACTTCCAACTGAAAGTCTGTGCAAATCCCCCTGTAATTCTCAGGGTGTTTACAGTAATTTGAAAAAAAACAAAAACAAAAACAATTATGTGTCCTATAGAAAACTGATATATAGCCCAGTGGCTTAAGAAGCAGTAGATGGCAGGTATGGTTCCTGTACACATTCACCTACCTGTTGACAGAAAAACATATATTTTGAGAAATAAAAGAGGAAAAAAAAACCCTACAAAGTCCATATAATAAGAAAAAAAAATCTTAATTCAAAATCTTAAATTTCTGTCAGAGGCATCTTTATCATAGCTCTCATTGCAGAAATATTGTAATAAACAATTTAGTAAAAACATGTGTTACCTTGGAACCCAGTTGCCCTCATGTGGTACCAGTGAGGAAGCTGATAGTGCCTACACAGCTGCCACCCCAGGAGGGCTCTCATACATTGTTTGTCACATCTGACAGCCCCCTCTATAAAAACCATAACAAATTTAAAAGAAAAAAATCAAATAGTGCAGCATTCAATAATAAGTGAAAAAACTACCCTTAGATTTACTATCAGCTTATTTTGCCTCTGTAACAGATTTCATAAATTATATACTAGTCACTAGCTCAGCTAAAATATTCCATACAACATCTTCTGATTTGTAATAGAAACAAGCATAAAATAGTCATATAGCAAACAGCAAAATAGAAATTTTACACATCTAAATGCAATCTCTAGTAGTTCAGTTTTTTTCTCATGCTAATAATAGAACTGCTTAGATTTAACAGCAGAAGACAATTACATGTCACGGAGTGGCTTAATATAAAATGAGAAACTTGTAATATCTACAAGAAAAATTACATGATTAGCATTCACAGCACCACCAACAATGTACTGTGTTTCCATTACTTAAGAGTAGCATATTTTTATCTATTCAGAGCAATTCTGGATATGAAGGTCTAATTCCTGGACAAAATCTTATTACAGCATTGTGATCAACAGGACTACTGCTGCCTTTCCTGTGCTCACAGGACTTGTGGGCACAGACTGTGGGGACACATCTGTGTTTAATTATAATGAAAATGTCACATAAAGAACAAAAAGGGTGTTAAATCACTATACAAAGATTTAAACTGGAAGCTGGTAAGGTTTTAATAACAGTCTGTTTCTGAATTATGCTTCCAATAACACATAAATGCATTATGGAGCTTTAGCTGGTATAAAGCAGTTTCTTATAGCTTAATGTATTTGAAATGAGAATGGCTGTGCTTTGTGGTAACAGAAATACTTGTTATGAATCAAACTCTTAGTTTAATACACTTAATAATGGCTGCAGTTAAGGCAGATGTTTAAATGCTTAAATGTTTTCTCTTCAGTTTGTGAAGTGACTCCATATTTATGGGAGTACAGTCATGAAAGCCTCTTTTTCTACGGGGGTGGGTCCCAGCCATCGCAGCACAGCTGAGTGCTCTCATGGAGCCTGTCCTGGCCCCTGGTCTTCAGATTATTCTCCATTTGACTGACTAATGAAGAGAGGAGGGGGAGCATTTCTGTTCTTCCAGTACAATCACCACAATAAGACGTGATTTTATTTCTCTTTTAAATCGCATGGTGCTCTACTAAGTTCTAACTCTAGATAGTACCTCTGTAAGAAAAATTAATATGTTATGGAGAATGTGGAAAAAGGAATATTTATTGTATTACAAGATTTTTTAGCTCATGTCTAGGGAAGCATTATTCCATTTTAAAAAGGCCTCATCGTAATCCCAACCAAAGGGGAGCCATGACAGAGCCTAACAGCTCAGATTTATCCTGACTGCTTCTTTCAGGATTTTAATAGCAGCCTTCAAACTCAGCACCTATATCTGCTTTAGCTGCAAGTGAGAACATCCAGAATTTACAAAGATGGACACCTTTTGGCCACAGAAGAGCTGCCAGCCCTTCAAAAGCCACAGCAATTCTGCTTCCACAGTTCCATCACTGAGAATGCATCCACAATATTTCACACAGATTTAATACTAAATGAAATATTGATTAACCTTTTCATCTTTAAGTTCTGGTTAGCATTTTACCTCAAATTGGCACCAACCCACCGCCCCCAGTACAACTGGAAAGATTTGAATCCCTAAGTCCATGAAAGCTGCAGTTAAGTGATCACAAGATCACAATTAAAACTTTATTTGCATTGTACATAATCACCACTCTTACACTCTAAATTATCTTGCAATTATAGGGGTACAGGAACGTTTTAAGAGGCATTAAAGGATTTGAATCTGCATTATCTCATCACTCTTACATAATGAGTCAATAAATCAATTTATCAATATCAATTTATCACTGACTGGACTTGCCTGGCACATCCTTCATAGCTGTCTACCCCAACAGTAAAACTCACTTTAACTTTCTGGGTATTTCAGATCCCACCCTTTAAAGTCCAATGCAACACAAAGCCCTCATTATACTGCAGCATCCCATCTTAAAAAAACCCTCAAGAGTGCTAACTGAAACCAGACCCCTGGCCAAGCACAGCGTTTGGAACTTGTCTTCCATAGGCTCCTGCTCCACCTCCAGGTACTGCCCATCTACTCCCCACCAAACTTCTTTGAAGAAACAATGTGCTGATATATTAAGAACCTCTCTGAATAATAGTCACATTTCTGTCTCATACTATTGCTTCCCCCAAGAAGCAATACCTTCTCAAGGCCAGAAAAAAAACCCGAAGAAACCCAAAGCAAAATAAAAAAAATGCTTAGAAATAAATTTTTTAATCCTATCAAAGTCTGTTTTCTGTTATGCTAATGTAGCTAGTCAACATCCTTTCCTGGCTTTACAGAGAGCAGCTGCCAAGAAATGGCCTTCAACTTGTTTACAGTGCAAAGGCTTTTTTAGAGAATTCCCCCGCAAGAGACAAGTTGCAGTTGGATGTTATTTCATGTTATTCCCATTTGTAAAACACTTTAAAATATACAAGTTACATTAGCTGTAAGCAAAGTGCTAAAATACAAAAGAACAAAGCTTCTCCTTTATTAAGAAGCCAGTACATTAGTTCTGCTCGGCCCTGCTTTTGATGAAAAAAGTGAAGACACAGCTTGCTTCACATGTCCTCAGCCATTACTCTGTTGCACACTTAAGTTCCACCTCATTAGTCAGACATTTTTTCCAGGAGAAGCTCCCATCTGAATGGGATCCTCGTGTGTTTAAACATGAGAGGGTCCCACCAGCACCCATCTCCTCTCACCTTCTTGCTCATGGGATAATGAATCTTTACAGTTCTTATAGTTCCATAATTATGGGTGTAAGATGTAAGGCTTCCTCCTATTTTTAAATAGTGCCAGCTCATCTCAAAAGGTTAAAAATAATCACCTCATTGTATGCAACAGACTAATAAAAATGCTATGTATCAGCACAACAGGCAAGTGCAACTCTGACAGTTCTGCTTGTGGAAGAAGTTAATGCAAAGCCTCCTGGTGTCAGGCAGGAAGAACAGCTCTTCTCTTGCAGGCAAATCAAGAATTCCAGATATTTAGCACTTCTTTCCCTTTTGTCAGCAGCTCCTGTGAACAATCCATCTAAGCAAAGAGGATGCACATTTTCCCTCTCTCAACAGTGTATACTTGAAGAAAGGCACACAGGTTTTCAGTCTATATGTGCAGAGAATAAAATACAATTAGCAGGCAGAAGAGAATGGTAGGAAGGTCCCTCAGGATAAAACTGTAGAAAGTTCAGGCACATCCTTGTTCAGTCATTCTGTTGCTAGAGTTGCATTTGTGACACAGGAGTACTCAAGGCTGAGGGCTCAGAAGGGGTTGCAGAAGCCTTCCAAATTCCACAGATGTAAGGTTGGGATTGTTCTACATATCCAGAGTCAGCTGAATGAAGCAAACATCTAAAAAATCTCCTTTCATCTATATTATCAAATATACACAACAAGATGGCCGCACCTCAGCAGTCTGTGCTGATACATCACAGAAACCAGAAGAGCATCCTCAGTTGCATTTCCAGTTTTCCTTCTCATCAGCACCTGAATGGGTGTGTAGTGAATCCTTTGAGGAAAAAGAAAATACCAGAAATTTCTGTTGTGCCCACTTCTCCTTCTCTACTGCAAAAGGAGAATCAAAGAATCCCAACCTATCCTTTCACCCAAAGGACCAGGTAGTGTTACACAACCCCAACACTACAGAGGCTATTTTGTCACCAAGAGCTGCCCTGCTACACGCCCTCTCTGCAGTTTCATCTCTTCTGTCACTACAAGTGTTGATCTTGCTTAGGAAGAAAAAGAAACATCTTGCTGCCCACATCTCTCATCCTACACAAGGCAGGCTTTGCTGGCGTGAGGTTTTTCTTTACCTGGGTTAGAAGCTGATGACGTCTCAGCTGTCTGTAGAACTGCAGCACAGCAGGATCAGCCCTCACTACTTTTGGGTCAAAATCCAGAACACGGAGACCCGCAAGGCTTCGGGCTCGGGAGAGGGCTACGTAAGCCTGCCCACTTTCAAAGACACGAGACAGGGAGATTTCCACACAGTCTAAAGACATGCCCTGTCAAAGGCACAGAGAACTTTGTTACAGAGCAAACAAACAAGAACATTGTGATGTATCAGCAGTAACCTGTCCTGTGAGTCTGTTCAAGGTACCATCTTTGATAAAAGTTTTGATTTAAAAAAAAAAAAAAGGAATTAGTAGAAAGAAAAGGCATTTTTCCACTAGGATCCACTGACTAACTCCAGTGAGGCTCTTGTTGCATGAAACTCCATAAATCCCATCTAATCAACACAGCAGGGAAAGAAATCTGCTGGTTTCACTCTTACTAGTTAACTGGAGCAGGCACCATTCTCAAGCAGTGCTCAGGCGGACCTGAGAAAGAGTTTGGGTAAGGCCTGGCCAGCCCTGTCTCTTGAGTTGTCCCAGGTGCAGCAGAATTTACAGCCTAGTGGTCTAGTTTAATCTGTGGCATGGGAACAAACCCACAGGTCACACGTCTCCAAGACCAGTACTTATCAAGTATGAAGTCTTCTGGAAAGGAAGGAACTTGGAAAATATTACACTGTTTCATTGACCCTTATCTTGCAAAAATCCCCACCACACACCAAAGGCTGAATCCAGCCCAAAGAGCACAGCTGTGGCTCCAGCAGCTTCCTCAGTTACACTGCAAAGCTCAGGGTCCCTAATGCTCTCAGGGAAACACTTCCCTCATCAGCCCATAGTGGTAAATAATGCTGCTTTACAGTCCAACACCAACTCTGCAGATGGCAGTGTCCTTAAGGAACCCCTGGCAGTACTGACGGTCCCAAAAGCAAAGGAGATGCTATCTCTCTGCAGCTAGACATATTATGGGGTTCCTCCCCAACTAGGGCCTTTCAGCTTTCCCTCCTATTTCACCAGCAATACAAGCTCACCCAGGAAATAAGGTTTATAATGGTGTAAAAGTCTACAGACAGCTGTACAAGAACACCCACCTGACTCTTGTGAATGGAAATGGCCCATGCCAATTTTAAAGGTAATTGCTGACGACTCAGATGAACTCCTGATGGTCCTTTAATGATCCATTTCTCCATTTTTATGAGCTGTGTGACCCCACAGAGAAACCTCACCTTAGGCAGCCCTGTAGGAATGGGAGCAGGAAAGAAACAGGGATGTATTCCTGACACTCAACAGCCAGGATGTCAGCAGCTTAAGAACACCTTTTTTCCCCCTAAACCAAACCTAAATCCACAGACAGTTAATAACATGCCCTGAAATGATGTTTGACACCTACTTAAGCAGGAGAACTAAGGCAGGTATTTTACCAGTTGAGAAGCAAAGAAAAATACATTTTGCTGGTAGCAGAACATTATTCTTTGGGAAAAACAAACAAAAATCCATCAAAACTTGCTTCAACAGAACAAATAGGAAATTCAAATGAGCAGACACATTTACATACAGAATACAGGACACAAGAGGCCTACAGACAGCTATAGCTGATGCAGTGCATGACATTACAGCTCATGAGAGCCCCAAGCTCGCCGAGATCTCTCTACTTTCCCTCAAATTATCAACAAGCTGTAAACAAAATTAAGAAGTTATCAGCCGCCAATACTGATTTGTTATTTTCCCACTTCCTTTAAGAAAAGATGAAAAGGCTTACTTACTCTTCTGTTCACTTTCAAATCCTACAACAACACCTCGTGCCCCGTTCACCAACCCTTGAGACACATCCAGATTCTTTGCTAACATCACCTACAGAGAAAAAGAAAAATCTTTAATGCACTGCTTCTGCAGCCTGTTCAGCTACCTGCAGCTAAACTTCTTGCCAGGAAGCATAAGTACATCAGGCTGATTTAGCCAAATCATCCTATCCTGCCTATTGCAGTACCATCTGATTGGAATCATTTCACAGCCTTTCCTTCCTACAATTTGTAGCTACATAATTTTACAGCACTGAACACTTTACTTGAGCTATTTCTGTCCACAGCTGTGAGCTCAGATCCAAAGAGCAGTTTCCACTTCACAAGGCATCACCAGCCTATGCATATACACATTCTGGGAACAGCTAAGGAACAAGTTTCCAAAGCAAATGGTGCTACTACTAAGTATAATCTTACATCTTTTCCACTCTGACAGCCCTAGCTGAGAGCTAGGTGCTCAGTTCAGCAAATATGGCAAGCTGTGCCATACCTTTACAGGTGGGGAGGGCTGCTGTACCTGGAGCCGAGACTGCAGGCAAGGACTGCTTGTGCTCTCTTCTACTAGAAGCCTTCTAAATTTGATTTGACATGTCTGTCAAAGTCACAGCAATCACCACTGTCCTTAAGACATAGACCTGAACTCATCCTCTGTCTGGATAAGATTCTAAGCAGAAAAAATACAAAGATTGGGATAGAGTCTTCTGTTGGCCTGGCATAGCCATTCTAGACTGAATTTACATTCGATGTATTAATCTACTCTGTACATTTCTCTGATATTCCTACACTTTTCTTACACCATTTGATCTGATCTATCACACATGTATGTACACACAGTTACCTGAGCTCCGAGCTTTAGCTCAACTCTACCACCCACAGGACACTGAGCATCAATTAACTTCACTAGCATTGGGTCACTGTCCAAAGCCTCAAACACATGCACTTCTCCTGTTAAGGAAAGAAAGACAGAACTTAAAACTGTTGAACAAATTGTACACAACATTTCAGGAGGTTCAGCATTTATTTCTAAGAGCAATTCCACTTTTAATATCCATTCTGCTCTGCTGCTAGGACATCCTCACACAAACCTTGTCACATCTAACAATGGAGAGCTCACTATTGCCTCTCTTCCCTATATAACTTCCAGAGCATGAAAAGACACAGGAAGGAAAGGTCAGCACTAAATAAGAACTAAGCAAACAGCATTTTGAGCAATTTCACTCACTACCAACACCAGATCTCCAAAGCAGACTAAGGAAGAATCCAAGGGTCAGCAAGGGAGGCAAAAAAATAAATACCATTAATACAAGTAATGGCTGGACAGAGCATGGCCTAAGATACTACAGAAAGAAGAAGCAGGGGAGTGGAGGCAATAAGTTACCCACCCTATCTCAGAGCAAGCAATGAGCTTGCTGTCACTTACAAACCAAAAAGTGACATTGTGGATTTTTAAACAAAAATCTGTGATTTTTTTCCCCAGGCACCTCATCTCCAACACACAGAGCTTGGACAGGTGTTGTTGCTGTGCATGACAGAACACAAGTTCCACGTGACACCCCAGTACCCCCACTGCATCCACGCAGAGCTCAGCCCCAAAGCCAGCCGTTTCCTCCTCCAAGTTCACCTGGTAGCTCTTGCAAGCGTCTCTCATTGGTTATTTCTACATCATCTTTATGGGTGCAGAGCCTCGTAGCCAGGATCCCATCACGCTCAGACCTGTGAGCGGCCGTCTGCATCAGCTGTCTGGTAACCTCCTCTGTGCACCTGGTAGCCAAGAAAAGGGAATTCCTTAAAGTGATCATGAACAGGTTTGAGCAGCAGTGACCTTCACACAGCTAGATGCGTCTGTGCAAGCTACAGGCCTCCAGAGAGGACAGAGAAGGATACCTGCATAAAGTCAGAGAGCAGAGGAATTGTCCCTCCTTACCAGAGCAGCACATATGAAAACTGTCTGTGTTAACTAAGGCATTCATACCTTTTGCCTACAGCTACACATTCCTGACAGAGCACAGAAAAGTGACAAACTGCTCTTTCCTCTGCTCCATCAGTGGGGAGCAGGGATTACAAAGAGAGATGAGTTTCTCCTCACCTGCCTAAACGGATTGCACTGAGGAGCGAGACAAAGGTCTTGTCAGTCTGTCTCCGCACTTCAGTCAGCTCCATGTTTATGTGGATGCATTTCCTCCAGCTTTTTGCCTGGAAATAAATCATTCTCTTGTTAAGAAAGAGGCAGACTTGAAGTATGAGAATGAGTTTAGGAACAGTTTTGTACCTGGAAGCAGAACTTGGTTTCTTCATTAGCCTTGCAGACTGGGGGTAACTGTAAGAAATCTCCACAGATAATTAGCTGAATTCCTCCAAAAGGCTCATCCCGTTTTCTGACTGCCCTGAAAGGAATGGAAGAGAAGGTTTGAATGTCCTCCAGAATCTGGACATAGTCAGGTCCCAGAAGTTACTTCTGAATCTGTCAGTATATTCAAACCTAGACAACTTACAGTGAAAGATGTTTATCCCCAGCTGCCTCAGAAGAGCTCAAATAATTAAGCAATGCTAGTACAAGACATTATATTTGCTTTGCTTACCTACCCCAGAGGTCATTATCAGTCTCAGTTCTTTAGTGGCTGCTATACTACAACTACTTCTCTCTGCCAAAAGAGACCTTTTGGGCACAGCTGTACATCCTGGACACAGCTCTATAGACAGCACTTAGCTCAGGAGATGGAGAGAGCAACCCAAACAGCCATAGCTGTGAGTGAAGGGTGGACATGACCAAAACCTATCTCATGGTAAAGATCAACCCAGATGCTATGATTTCATGCTTCCTCACAAGCCTATACCAGCAGCTGCCTTGTATCCAATCATAAAACTAAAGAAAGGAAGCAGACTGGAAGTTTAGAGAAATTAATTTCTGCTAGTTTGACCTGACAATTGCTCACCTTGCCACTGCCTCCAACCTGTCAAAGAACTTGCCATCCACCATTGAGATCTCATCAATAATTAAGTGCTGGCAGGCCAGCCAATGCTGGCGCACCCCTGGCCTCTCTGCCAGCTGAATGCACTGTTCTAGCGGTGCCTTCCCAGAACCGATCCCTGTCACAGGACAAAAAGCAATGCTTTAGGATATTCCTGATTCTTTGGGAAGGGAGTAAGAGCTCCCAGCCCCTCGCTGTCGGGCAGGCCATCACCTGCAAAGGCGTGGAGAGTCGTGCCACCGATGTGACAAGCCGCCACTCCCGTGCTGGCTGTAGCGTAGGTGATGTTCGGAGGGAGGGAGCCCACGATCCTCTTCAGGAGGAATGACTTCCCAGTCCCTTCGAGGTAGAAGCAACAGGTCAATGGCCGGGACTTCCGCCGGGGAGCCGATGCGGGTCGCCGGGGCTCCTCACCTGCAGAGCCGGTGAAGAAGACGCTCTTTCCGCTCCGCACGGCGCGCAGCACCGCCTCCTGCTCCGCCGAGAGCCTCGCCGGGGGCCGCCTCTCGGCGCGGGGCACCTGCGGGACAGGCGGGGGCGCCCCGTCAGGGCAGGGCCGCTACCCGGGGCCGCCCCCTCGGCCCGGGACTCACCTCCGCCGGGCTCTCCCCTCGCTCTTCGCCCGCACGGCGGCGGCCGGGTCCGCACAGCAGGTCCCGCTCCTGCACCGGGCTGATGACAGAGAAAGACGGCGGCGGCCGGTCCAGCAGGCGGGGGCGGCGCGACGCGTCCCGCGACCCCGCGGCCACCTTGAGCCGCAGAAGGCGGAGGAAGCGACGCAGCGCGTCTGGGGGGCAGTCGGACAGCAGCACCTGGGCGCCGTCCGGCCCCACCCGCACCGCCGCCCGCCCCTCGCCCGCGAACCGCGTGAAGAGCCTCACGGTGTCACGGGCCAGCACGAAGTTCAGCACCGCCGCCGCCGTGCCGCTGCCGCCGGCCACCCGCAGCACGGGCTGCCGCAGCTCGTTGCGGCCCAGCAGCACGGTCGCGGCCCGCATCACGCGGCGGCGCGGGGCGAGTCCCCCCGGCAGCGGCTGCTCCACGGCCGCCGTGCAGCGCAGCTCCGCCGCCTCCATCGCCCCGCCGGCCGTTCAAACGCGCCGCGTGCGCCGCCGCCAATCAGCGCCGGTGGCTTTAACTGGGCGGCCAATCGGAGGCGGGAAGGGCGGGGCGCGAGGCGGAGCGCCGGGCGGGCGTTGCCGCGGGAGGCGGGGAGCCGGGCCGGCCATGGCCGCTCGCAGCGGTGACAGGAGCCCGCCGGACGCGCTGCAGAATCGCTTCCACAGCGAGCGGGCCAACAAGGAGCGCCGCTGGCAGCTGCTCTTCACGCAGTACACCGTGAACACCCTCCAGCCCGGTGAAGCCTCGCGGCCACAGGGGACTGGCGTAAAGCCCCGGGGGCAAGACAAGCCGTGAGGAGTGGGGGGCCCGCGGCGCTCGGCTGCGCGGCAGGGACGAGCAGCTGCACCCAAGCGAGGCAGCAGTGGCCACTGAGAGGGGTAAAGCTGGAACGGGCAACTGGTGGGCTTTCCTTTTGCCTGAGGAACCGGTCTGCACACTTAGAGAGAGAACGGAGACATGACCCACTTGCCCGGATGCTGCCTTTAGTAACAACGTAGAAGTGAGGCAACCATTAAGGAACTTAAAAATTCTGTGTAAATACAGAGCCAAGATGGGGTAGAGGGCCCCAACCCTACACCATGTTCCTTCAGGTCCTGATCTGCTTTCTATCTGCCAATTCACAGTCTGTGCTAGCACGGGCAGGTGATGTGAGTAGATTCTTTCAGGTCTAGGTTTTGCAATAAAACAATAAAAGAAAATAATTTCCTGAGATGTGGCACTCTGCAGGCCACCCCTTGGGCGGGATGGGACTCTGATATGTTGAGCATAGGCAGCATCCTGTTGAAGGGCCTTCAGCATACTTAATGAATGACCTTCCCTTCCTAGAAGTTGCCATTAATCAGTATTTCTAACTAATTTTCATCTATGCACATGCAGTTCAGTAACACATTCTATACCTGGCTGTGATGCCAAATTCACATTAAAATCATTCACCTGTCTCATTTCTTGGCAGTTCACATGGTCGCTAGGAAGCCAATGTCTTGGCATGAGAATGTACATCTGCCAATAAATGGTAAGAAGTCTCTGAAAAACTTGTGATAACTACATAAAAAATTATTAACACGTAAGATTTAATAACTGTAATCAGTCTAAAATATGATGTATGTGGAAACATCTCTGTGACCATATAAGTAAGTTAAACTCATTTATGGCTTTTGTTTGTAAAGCAGGTTTTTTTCCACTTTAAGGACCTTTCCCGTTACTTTCCATTTTCAGCACAAGTTTACATCCATGCAATTATGCTCTTATTTTTGTTTCTAATTAAAAAATATATAAAATATAAAATATATAAAATTCCTTATATTCATACTGTAAAATTTTGTTGAGGATCTAAAGCTCAGGGCAAAACAAAAATACCTAGAAGCATGTTCTATATGTACATGTTGCCTGGAATTGCAGATTGTACCTAACACCATGCAGCTTAAACTGCTGAAATGACTGCCCAGTCTTACTTTAGAGCACGGGTAACAAAAGTCCTTATCAGCTGCTCCCTTATTTCTAACATTCTGATTTTGTCTAAAAACCTTAATGGGTCAGGTAAGGTTGGCCTGCTTTATTCAAGGACTGGGGAGGGTAGAAAACCAAACCAGGGAAAGGCTGCAGGTCTCAGGCAAATGAGGAAGTCAAAAGCTGCCATGGAACACTGGTTTGTACTAGATTTGGTGGAGGAAAAGTAAGATGCTGCAGTACAGTAGACAGGGATACCAGAATTAACAGGACAGTATTATCACGCAAATCTTGAAACTTCCTCAGGAAATATTTGAGTAGAAACATCACCATGCATCCTGACAATATTATTCACAGAAACAGAGGCTGCCTCCATCCTTGGTGTCCTTCTTGTAGCTTGGACAGTGTTAAGATGTCCCATTCTAACACATGGCCACAGGTGAATGATTTTTAAACACACTTTCATTTGTATTTCTGTCTCTTAAAACAACAGATGAATTCTTGAAACTTCTTCACCGTGCAGCAGAGGTGCCAAGAAAGAAATACTCAGAGCCACAAACTGAAAGCCAAGAAATTGGCTGGCATTCAACACCTTTGGTGAGTAAGATGCTTAAAGACTCAGCTCTTCACAGGATTCAGAGACGTTAAGCCCGCCACACTGAAAAATATTCATGCAGGAAAACGATTTGTGACAGCAAGGAAAACAAGAATTTTACAGGGAACGAGCAGAGCTGTTCACAGAAAACAAGTTTTTAAAATTTACATGTAAGAGGACTCTTCACACTGGCATAGACTTGTGAACAGAGCAGTACACTTCCCCTGAGAAACCTGACTGCAAAGCATCTACAGTGACAGTGACTGCACACTGCCAAATGCCACAGGTGTACTCAGAGCTGTTTATTAAAGCATTCAGCCATGAGAAATGGTGTAGTAAGCAATGTGAAGTGACATACAGAAGTACTGTGGAAAAAAATGTGCTGCTGCACAGCATCTTTCAAACAAATTGCAAGAACCATAAAATGAATAATCATGTAAGTATACCCAAAGCAGATACACCAGTGAGGATTCTTCTGGGGAAGTGTGAATAAACAGGAGGAAAATAAATATGATTAACAAGCTGAGACATCAATCATATCTGACAACCAGCTGTGATGATGACTGACTTTGCAGATTAGTGTTTTGGGAAAGGCAAATTTTGGCCTGTTATAAAAAAAACTAAAATAAATAAGAAAATAAGACAGTCTTCACTGACTTTTCATATTATACATCAAGTAAACTATTTATTCATGACAAGGGTAGAGACAGACATCCCAGCTGGGGTCTATGGTATCAAGGAACTGGTAGGATTAGTCTGGCAGGGTGGAGGCAACTGAACTTGTTTGTAGGGAAGCAAGTTCAATTTTTAGAGTCAGAACTCATGATGTTTTTTAATTTGTTAAGTTTTTCTTATTCAGTAGGTTTGACCATGACAAAGCAGTGAACAGTACAGTGGTACCCTGCTCTTCTGTCATTTGGACATTTCTCAGCAGCAGAACACTGTGCATCACTCTCCCCAGGAGGGACTACTACCACTAATTGTAATAAAAGCGCATGACTGTTTGTGATTTTTGTTTCCCAGGTTCCTTTGGACCACAGTGATATCAGATTCTACTTCCCACGCAAGACAACTGAGATTACCATCCATGGCTACCCTGCACCACGGGGAGAGAAGCCTAAAACTACTACAGCAGGAAATCTATAGATAGAATGTTAATGACATCTAATGTGTTAGGCCTTGCTTGTTATCCACCAAGTCTGGCAAATTTCTAGTGAGAGACAACAGAAAAAAGAAAACTATAATCTGTCCAGATTTGCAGCCTGACAACAGTGACACAAATAAACCTATCTGTAAGGCTCTGTATTCGTCTGACTGCTGTTTCTGATCCATCTACACAAAGAGTAAAAAAAAACACTCTAACACCTCAAAAAGCTTCAGACTTCTTTTTTTATATCAGCAATATGACCCAGAACTCAAGGTCACCAACTTCATCTTAACAGCAGTGGTAGAAAAAGCTGGCTTCAGCCACCCCATTGAACACCTAAACATGAGTTACACATAGTTCTGTGCAAACCATTTAATGCGTGCACACACATCAAAGGTTTATGTAGAAAACAATCCTTCAACAAAACACACAGTAAGAAAAAATTAGTGATAAGGCACTGGTTTCCACTGACTTTTTTTTCCTTGCTGCTGCAAAGCATCCAGCTTCCTCCAAAGTTAGCTGATTGATGACAGCAGAAACACATCTTGCAACACAAAGAAACACAGGAATCTCACTGTGCAGCACAGTTCTCTCAGCGAGCTCGGTTCTTCATTTTCTGCCTTGCTCTCTTTCCAGGTCTCTTCTGCAAAAAAAAGGACAGATTCAGATCTTTATTTTCATGTTCTCCATCTTTGTTCCAGCTCTATAGCTTGGGGAGGATACCAAGGAGAGGATTTGTCGGAACATCTGGAGAAGGAGGTTTTGGCACATGGGTAGCAAACAGCACTTTTTAACTCCCCTTCTTATTTTCCTGCTGATACCAAACCGCTGTCCCCAGCTCTGTTAGTAACTCTATTATGCTTAGCTCCCAAAGACAGGCATCACTTCCAGATGCTGGAGGCACCCATCATGTACTCGTCTCTTCCTGCCAGACATGGCCTGGCTTTCTAGCCAACCAGGATCACTTTCATGCAACATTTTACTTACATTAAGGGCTTTTTTGCCTCCTTTCCCTCCTTTTCCTCCTCTTCCTGGACCTTTGTTGTGAGCCACTTTTGACTGGAAGCTGGATACGTCATTAAAACTCTCCTTTGTGTTCCACTTTGAGCCCTTCTTCTTCCCACCAAAACCAAACTTCTGATTTTTGTATCGTCTTTTGGCATTTGGCCTGAAAAACAACCAACCAACATCACTGCCTACATTCCTTGTTTCAGAAAACTCTCAAGACACACATATGTATCTTCATGATCTCCCATCAACCATCATAAACCTTCCCCCTCTTAACAAAGATGCAGAAATTAACACATTTCAGTTTCTATTTAATTTTGGCCATAGTATTCTTCTCTTTGGGGACAGAAAGCCACCTTGGACTTACTTTAACACTAAACAGAACAGTTTTCTTGTTTCTCAAAACTATCCTCTAAAAACACTGAAAAAATCAGACATCCTGTGTTTAACTATCTTTCGTTTCTGGTCTCACCCCTTCTTTGTCCGTTGACTTGCACTGCCTTTTTTATTCCCTTGTGACGATGCCTGCTCTTCATCTAGAAAGTCCAACTTGTCAGAGAGACCTGCAAGAATGAAGACATCACAGCTACACCTCAGAAAATACAGATTTTCAGTCTAAGCACATAATAGCAACAGGTCACCCTTACTGAAGAACAGCTTCCTGGGAAGCTTTTCACTGCCACTGGCACACAATTCTGCACAGCAGCAGCTTTCCAACCTCAAGGCCCAGAACTACAGACACAGTGATCGTATCACAC